CCTCTATATACACAATGCAAACACAGGAATCAGGACAAAAATATTTTTTTAAAAAAAATTTAAAATGTTATTGTGGATGTTTGATTTTTAATATATAGTTTTGGGTTTTTTTTTTCTGGTTCCAAGATGGCAACCCTTTCCTAAAAGGAGTACTTCCAGGGGCAAGGGGAGGGATTTCTGGTGGCAAAGGTCAGGGGTTTTGTGTGTGGGTGGGGGATTTGATGTAGGACTTCTGGTCCCAAGATGACAACCAAGGGGTGGGGTACCTGTCAAGGGTCAGGGGTACCCTTGTGGCCCTGGACAGCTCACCAAAACTCATTAAGCAGGTCTCCAGCCAAAATAATTGCCTGTCCCTGCTCTTGATAGACAAATGCAAGTTGCTGTATTTTAGGGAAGAATGATGAAAAGCACAGATACAGAATAGGTGGTAACCAGATGGGTGGCTGCACTGCTGAAAATTATTTTTGGATTTTGCTGACTTGTGAAGTCTGTTAACCACTGATGTGATGCAGCGGCAGAGAAGATTAATGCATCAGCAGGGTGCGTGGGAGGTGATACTGCCTCTCTACTTTGTCCTGGTTTAGGTCTCATCTAGTGTTCTTTGCAGTTCTGGCCTCTACATTTTTAAAAGGATGTGACAGTTATAGAGGGTCCTGAGGTGGGAGAGAAATGAAAATAGTTTGGAGAGCAGGACATACAAGGAGAGGTTGAGAGACCCTGTTTGTTTGCATATTGCATGCCTCTGAAGTAAGCCTTTTGTTTTACAGAGAAGACAGACTGGTTCCAAAGAAAAATGATTTTTTTTCTTCCAACTAGTTTAGGCTTGGTTCCTTCATTTGAGATATACGTCCTGATGTTTGATTGCTAACTTTTGGAGGGAAGAGTGGGTGTGGTGAATAACTAAGGTAATTATGCTTATCTTGCAGAAAAAGCAATTAAAGGGGAACAGGATGAGGGAACCAAGGAGCAATGGTCTCAAGTTGCAACGAGGGAAGTTTTTAGGTTAGATATTAGGAAGAACTTCCTCACTAAGAGGGTAGTAAAGTACTGGAACAAGTTATCTAGAGAGGTTGTGGAATCTCTATCCTTGGAAGTTTTAAAGATCTGGCTGGACAAAGCCTTGGCTGGGATGATCTAGTTGGAGCTGGTCCTGCCTTGAGCAGGGGGACCTCACCCTTCTAACTTCTAATTTTTCTATGATTCTATAATGGCAGCCTTTCAGGTATTTGAAGACTGCGATGAATAAGAGGGAGAACTTCCTTTGCGGAGACTTTGGGTGCTTAGCTTTGGCTTTAAATTGGAGCTAAGTAGACTTTGGATATTAGGGAAGCTGTGTAATAGCTCTCTATCACTGGAGGTTTTTAAGAGGCTGGATAAGCATTGGTCAGAGATATTTAGGAGTAGCAATGCCTGGAGTGTGCAATGAAATGGAACAGTTGGAAGCCCAGGAGACTCCCATACACATGTTGCTTGGAAATCACTGGAAGAGATCTGTAGCCTACAGTGGGTACAAATTTATGAAAATAAAACAGGGGTTCACAAGTGGCCCAATTATGGAAAAAAGATTAAAAGAACTGAGAGAAACTTATGGAGGGGTTAGGATGATAGGTGGGTTCTGGCTCTCTAGTTGAAGTGCATGATGAATGGAGTTGGTTGCCATCCCCAGGTTGCATGGCAGGGTGGAAGGTATTTTGGTTATTTCATTCTGGTTGCCACGTGGGTTTGACAAGGAATTTTATACCATAGCCAAATTAGCATGGGTTGTGGGAGGATTTTTGCTTCCCTGTGTAGGGAGGGTGAGTAGGGTAGATGGTTCTCTTCCTTGGATTTCTTGAGTGCATTTTAACAACAGTCTCCTGTCCTGGTGGTAGCAGAATGGTGGTAGTGCCTATGGCAAGGTAGGATAGAAAAAGAAACGGAGAAGTCAAAGTGTGGAGGAAGTAATTTATTAAAAACTGTGGAAGGATGTGCAGTAGTATATTACAGGAAACTAAAATGGAGGAGGGGGACAAATTAAGCTAGAGAAAAGAGAAAACTCATGAGGTCTGTTCTTTGTTACCGTTCAACAATGTTCAACTGAAAGCTGACCAAGGTTGCTGAAAGTTAATTATAGTGATCAGTACATTTTGAATATGATGGCTAATGAGTTGTGTAAAAGTTCCAAGCTCTGCCTAAATCAACAACAAAATAAGTCCTCAGATTTTCAAAGTGAGAAATTTAGAATTTATTGCTGGCATATTTGACAAGAAAAAAAAAATCAAAACTCTTATATTGCCAAGGTATCAACCGACCTAGAAATGCTATATTATGAACTTTATTGCAAATCTGCCCATAAGTTGCTTGCAGGCATTAAAAACAAACAAAAAACCCCCACACTTTACCAGAAGAAGCAGCACATTACTTCCACCCAGCTCAGCAGTGTCTGTATAGATTGTGCACTTCAGCGGGGCTTTGGTGCTTTTAGCTAAAGCTGTTTCAATCAGTTATTAGATAAAAGTGCCAGAAAAGCCCTACTGAAAGCATGCAATCGATACAGACACTGAGCTAGCTGGGTCCAACTTAAGACACTGCCTCTAGGGCTGTGCAAAACTTCGGATCATGATTTGGATTCGGAGATGATTTGGAGGCTGAATCTACGAATCTGAATTGAATTGCTGGAAGCTTAAGGCTTTCCAAATCGGTTTGGAACTTCGCAAAAGATTCGGAGATTTGACTGTAGGGTATAATGGGGAATCAATTAAATATCTGTAACTGTCTTTTGGCTGATTCAGCTAAAACTTGCAGGGATGGTAGCCCCCTGCAGAGAGTATGACTTGTCAAGTTTCAAGGTGATAGGCGTAGGGATTTCTGGGAAGCTGCACCTCAGAATCCTGAAGTGAAAACTCATGATATAGGTGACACTGTGTGTTAAGGCACAGGGTGGTGAAAGCTGCAGGGTCAGTAGCCCCTGCTGAGGCCACAAAGCCTGCCAAGTTTCAAGGAGATAGGTGCAGGGGTTTGGGGGGAACTGCACCTCAAGCTGCAGACAAGCAAAACTCATGACATGGGTGACACTGTGTGTTAAGGCGCAGCAGGGTGAAACCTGTAGGCCTGCTAGCCCCTGCTGTGGCCACAAAGTCTGCCAGCTTTCAAGGAGATGGGTGCAGGGGCTTCTGGGGCCCTGCACCTCTAGCTGCTGACAGGCAAAACTTGTGTCATGGGTGCTTGTGCAACTGTGTCTGTCTTGGGGCATGGGGTGGGGGGGAACTACTGCAGGCCTGGCTGCTAGGCCCTGCTGTGGCCACCAAGCCTGCCAGCTGTTAAAGAGCTGCTGTGTTACCAATCAGTCATGACTCACTGAGGGACCTGCTCAATACACAGTAGCTAGCAAGGATAATGAGTTAATGAGCAAGAATTAACACCTACAAAACCACAGACTAAGGTGAGGAAAGAATCAATACAGAGCTGGGAATTGCTTCTGCCCTAAGATAGAGATAGTCAGTTGCACAAGCACCCACGTCAAGGGTATTTTGTCTGTCAGCAGCTAGGGGTGCAGGGCCCCAGAACCCCCATGCACCTATCTCCTT